TTTGAAAGTGAAAAAGAGCACAAAATAGCACAAAATACCTATTCCTTAAGATATTTTTTTACGAATAAAATAAGCCTCCAAGCTATTTTAATAGACCCATATTGTTTTCTTAATGTTTTGCATAAAACAACATTAATACATGATTGTGCAAGGCCGTCTTAGCTCAGCGGTAGAGCGCGTGGCTTTTAACCACGTGGTCGTGGGTTCGATCCCCACAGACGGCGTCTTTTACATTAATTTTTTTTTTTTTTATGGACTGTCGTCTGTCCAGTTTTGGTTTCTTTGCAAGTTCAAGTTTCGTTGGTCTTTCAGTTGGGCCTTCAACATGATTTCAATATTGAATTCTTGTGCCAAAAGCCCACAATGACAGTGATGCTGAGCCTGCATGAAGCCCAGTAAATATTATTTATTTATTGTCTTCATATTCATCTTGAGTCAAAGAGAATATATTACTTTGACCATTATAGTTAAAAGAGACTTATTTTTTCCTCCAAAATCTTCTTACACAAGAATGTTGTGTGCTACATAGGGAATTGATATAATCTTTTTGTTTTGTCCTTTGGCTCCCCTTTTTATGAAAAAAAGAAAGGTTTTCTTCTTCACAAGCATAGATTCTACTTTCAATTGTCTTTAGTTTTAGATAAAAAAAAATAAAAAATAAAATAAAAAACTCTATAGATTCTACTTTGAATTGTCTTTAGTTATGGATTAAAAAACTATCTTATAAGAATCCTAAGCTCAAAAGCATATAGCATCCACATATTTTTTTTGTTTGGTGAAAAGGCCAATTGCTCGTGAGAAATTTCGTCGAGCCAACTGATGACTTTCTTATGTAGACATTGATCGATGAATCGGTGGTGACAAATAGCTGATTATTTTACTTACAAGGGTGTATTTCTTTAAGAATTCTAATGACTTTTAAAGATTTCTTGGGATTTATGAAATCCGGTTGTATTTAAATGAGACTTTTTAAAACTTAAAAAATAGTTTGACTAACAAATTAACGGTTTGTCAAGTAAGCGTTTTATAAATGATGAAAATTGTTGGTTATTATCTTGCCTATTCTTGAATCCCATCTTCCCAAAACCCCCGATCCAAAAATACTTTTAACCTTAATAATCTGTTTACCTTTTAATTGATGTCTAATTTGTTACATTAGCACTAATCCACTAATAAACAAAGGAGTTCAATATATTACTAATTTTTTTTTGTACATTCAATGTATTAGTATTTGAATAAGACAGTAATGTTCTCCTACCCATGGTGTTAATATGTCCACGGCTTATGTGGCATGCACACATTGGTAATGTATTTTTATGAACATATTAACATCACCAATGTGTGCATGCCACATAAGCAGTTAAATATTGTTTTGTACTTAATAATTAAATTAAGATTTTTTTCTTGTCAATATTAGTCTTATTTAAAATAAATTAACATTTATCAATTTCTTTCTTTTCAACTTTTTTTTTATGTTATTTCAAGAGAGAAAACCCGTCGTCTTTCACAAATTTTCTCCCAAAACGCATAGTGTATTAATTAAATGAGGGTAGCAATAAAAATGTATAAAAGATATCCAAAACAACATTTATTTTATTAATAATCAATAAAGCTGAAATGATAAATAAAAAGAACATGAGGATATTTTATAATATCTATAAAGCAATTGCCCAAATTATTTTTTTTTTTTAAAAAAAACAAACCATTCCAAATTCTTTTCCACATTTGGACTAACTAGTTTTTGTGAGGCTAATTTTGCAATTGTGCAGTCTGTGTCAACTTGCTAACTTGGAATAAAGTAAAAAAATTGCTTGGCTCATACTAAAAATTCCAATAAAAAAATATCTTGGAATAATCTCAATTTACCTATTCAGTTAAAAAAAAAAAAAAAAAAAAAAA